CACTGTGACCTCTACAGAATCTGGACCCATAAATCTGTTTCTAAACCTGGAAGAGACTTACGGTCGTCAAATGAACACCTTCATTTGACAGAGGGGGAATGTGAATCCCAAAGCAGACAAATGTTGTTCCTGTGGCCAAATAACTAGTTCAGCAGCAGAGCCAGATCTAGAAAGAACACCTGCTTTCTGTCTCTGCATCACCTTTGTTCCACCATTGAGAAGGCTAATGGCTTTAGGTCTAGTTAAAAACATTAGAGCCAAGCATAGTGGGGTGTACCTGTAGTCCCAGCTACTCAGGAGGCTAAGATGGGAGGATCCCTTGAGCCCAGGAGCTCGAGGCCAGCCTGCACAACAAGCAAGGCTCCATCTCTTGAAAAATTTTTTTAAAAGTTAGCAGACCCAAGTCTGGCTCTTGGTATGCCTAGAACATTGACTTACCATTGTACATTTTTACTCTCTCTGGCTTCTGGACAATGTACATGAGGCAATGTGTTACTATATGAGGCAGTGGAGTAGTATTAGGGCAGAACATTTTTGGTCCAAATTGATTTTCCCCTCACTTGGAGCACATCAGTGCAGCATGGCCATGCAACATGAAAAGAAAGACTACCATGCTCCCATTGGGGAAGGGGATTGGGATGGTTGTGAGTCCAAGACAAGCAAGGGTCACTCAGTAGGAGAAGAATAAGTACAAAACTTACATTAGCATAACACTCCCATTAACCTCAGTGGGAGTTGTGCTTACAGGAATTGCAGAATCAGCAGTTGAACAGACTGGAATGAAGCATGAAAGCTCGAGTCATAGGTTATTACTAGGATTGTATAATTCCAGCTTCATATTTGCAAAAGAGTTCATTTTAATCTAGTGAGATCTCCCTCTACTGACTCTTAGGGCAGTGTCTACAAAAGAACCTTTGTTTGGGTCCAAATTGTGGTGTGTGGTTGAAGAAACTTGGCAAATTGGAGAAGTTAGGACAAGTGCCAACAAAGTCTAGCAAATATACTCAACTGTTTCTGTCCCACTAGTCCATGAAGTTTATTATATTCCATTTTAGCAACCAGGGCCTATGGCAGTCCCGGGTACACAATAGGTATTTACTATTTAGTGAATAAATGAAAGAAAGGATGGCTAGGTTCATGTTTCTTGTCAGACTCACTTAGTAGAATTCCCATCCTAACATGGCAGAAGTAGTGACTACCTTGGCTGCTTCTTTGAACCATGCAAGGAAAAGCCAAGAATCAATAGAGGGACAGGGACTGGGGCTGTGTTGGCACAAAGCCATGCCCTTTTCAGCTATGCATGGCTGGAGGTGAGGGTAGGGGCCTGTTTGGGCTACTGCTGGGCCTCTCCAAGTTAAAATTAAATCTGCTCCTTACACTACTTTTTTTTTATAGTATATAAATGTGATTTTTGTTTGTTTGGTTTTTTTGAGACAGAGTCTCACTTTGTTGCCCAGGCTAGAGTGAGTGCCGTGGCATCAGCCTAGCTCACAGCAACCTCAAACTCCTGGGCCCAAGGAATCCTACTGCCTCAGCCTCCTGAGTAGCTGGGACTACAGGCATGCGCCACCATGCCCAGCTAATTTTTTTATATATATTAATTGGCCAATTAATTTCTTTCTATTTATAGTAGAGACGGGGGTCTTGCTCTTGCTCAGGCTGGTTTTGAACTCCTGATCTTGAGCGATCCACCCACCTTGGCCTCCCAGAGTGCTAGGATTACAGGCATGAGCCACTGCGCCCAGCCTGTGATGTTTTTTTTTTTTCAGCATATTATGGGGGTACAAATGTTATGGTTACATACATTGCCCATGCACCCCCACCACCCTCGAGTCAGAGCTTCAAGCATGACCATCCCCTAGACGGTGCACATCTCACCCATTATGTATGTATATACTCACCCCTCCTCCCCCTCCCACCTGCCCGACACCTAATAAATGCTATTCCTATAGGTGTTGATCAGTTAATACCAGTTTGCTGGTGAGTACATTTGGTGCTTGTTTTTCCATTCTTGGGATACTTCACTTAGTAGAATGGGTTCCAACTCTATCCAGGAAAATACAAGAGGTGCTATATCACCTTTGTTTCTTAAAGCTGAATAGTACTCCATGGTATACATATACCACATTTTATTAATCTATTCATGTATTGATGGGCACTTGGGTTGTTTCCACAACTTTGCAATTTTCTTATACTCTTTAAATTCAGTATCTTTTGAAAAGAGTTTGTGGCTAAGGAAGAATGAGGCCCCTGTTTCTGTGGCTCTACTGTTAATAAGTATAAAGTTAAAATGTATAAAAAATCACAAAAGATTAATGATTATATAATCTATATGGTGAGTATATGGATAGTTGATACAATTCTTTATTTTCTGTATATTTGCAAAATATCTTAATAAAATGTTGGGGGGAAAGTCACCTGCTGTCAAAAGAGCTACAGGCAGCTTCCTTAAACCATGCTCTGGCATCAAAAGCAGCACTGATCTTTAGCTGGGTAAAATACATTCATTCATTCAATCATTCGTTCATTGATAGAGTCTCGCTTTGTTGCCCAGGCTAGAGTGAGTGCCACGGCATCAGCCTAGCTCACAGCAACCTCAAACTCCTGGGCTCAAGTGATCCTCCTGCCTCAGCCTCCCGAGTAGCTGGGACTATACAGGCATGTGCCACCATACCTGGTTAACTTTTTCTATATATATTAATGGGCCAATTAATTTCTTTCTATTTATAGTAGAGACGGGGGTCTCACCCTTGCTAAGGCTGGTTTCGAACTCCTGACCTCAAGCAATCCACCTGCCTCAGCCTCCCAGAGAGCTAGGATTATAGGCGTGAGCCACCGCACCCGGCCCATCTACTTTAATTTTATATTATCTACTACGTACTTTTTTCTAATTCTAAGTCAAATACAATTCTTAAGATACATACTTTTGTTGGACTATATTGTATAAAGTTATGTTATTCTTAGGAAAAGAATGTGAATTTTCGTACTCCAGCTTAATCTCATCACTCAACATCTTTCTGGAAAAATGAAAGTTCATTCAGAATGACAAGTAAAAGGCTAATACCACCTCCCTCTAAATTTAGAAAAGGCTAATAAACCAAATAACCAGAACATATTTTAACTATTTCCCCTGTAGCACAGACATGGTGTGCTCATGAATAGCAAAATATGCTTAATCCCAGTGTACCATTCTAACATCAGATACAGAACTCTATTTTTTTTTTTTTGAGACAGAGTCTCACTTTGTTGCCCAGGCTAGAGTGAGTGCCGTGACGTCAGCCTAGCTCACAGCAACCTCAAACTCCTGGGCTCAAGCAATCCTCCTGCCTCAGCCTCCCGAGTAGCTGGGACTACAGGCATGCACCACCATGCCCGGCTAATTTTTTCTATATAAATTAGTTGGCCAATTTCTTTCTATTTATAGTAGAGACGGGGTCTCACTCTTGCTCAGGCTGTTTTCGAACTCCTGATCTCGAGCAATCCACCCGCCTTGGCCTCCCAGAGTGCTAGGATTACAGGCGTGAGCCACCGCGCCCGGCCAGAAAAAGCACTCTTTAAAATCAAGGTCACAGAGATGAACAGTGCTTAAAAAACACTACCCAAGCTGGGTGTGGTGGCTCACACCTGTAATCCTAGCACTCTGGGAGGCCAAGGCGGGAGGATTGCTCAAGGTCAGGAGTTCAAAACTAGCCTGAGCAAGAGCAAGACTCCGTCTCCACGAAAAATAGAAATAGAAAGAAATTAATTGGCCAACTAAAATATAGAGAAAAAATTAGCCAGGCATGGTGGCGCATGCCTGTGGTCCCAGCTACTCAGGAGGTTGAGGCAGAAGGATTGCTTGAGCCCAGAACTTTGAGGTTGCTGTGAGCTAGGCTGACGCCACCGCATTCTAGCCTGGGCAACAGAGTGAGACTATGTCTCAAAAAAAGAAAAAAAAAAAACCCACTACCTAGTCTTTTCCTCTCTCTGCAATAGTTAAGTCATGGTCCATAGCTGAACCAGGTCAGAAATTTGAGAATTTCTCCATTTTAAACAGCTTTCTTCTTTTTTCTTTTTTTTTTCCCATTCTATATATGTTAAATGGGCTGGACGCAGTGGCTCACACCTGTAATCCTAGCACTCTTGGGAGGCCTAGGCAGGAGGATTGCTTGAGCTCAGGAGTTGGAGACCAGCTTCAGCTAGAGCAAGATCCCATTCTACTAAAAATAGAAAAAATTAGCCGGGCATGGTGGCACATGGCTGTAGTCCCAGCTACTTGGGAGGCTGAGGCAGAAGGATTGCTTAAGCCCAGGAGTTTGAGGTTGCAGTGAACTATGATGATACCACTGCACTCTACCCCAGGCAACAGAGTGAGACTGTCTAATAAATAAATAAAAGTTGCCCACTTTGACTGCTTCACTTGACTAGGGGAAAAAAAAAAAAAGACAGTTACTTCATGGAGCTCTCTTACCAAATTTGACTTGGCAATCTTTTGGTATGATTAACATGACTTCAGGAGGAGCCTTGTTTAAGGAGCAAACATAGTGAAAATTGGAAAAGGTACCATGCAGAAAGTCAGAAAGAAGTTTGTTGTTTTTTTTTTTAATTTTTTTTTTATATATTTTTAGTTGGCCAATTAATTTCTTTCTATTTTTTTTTTGGTAGAGACGGGGTCTCACTCAGGCTGGTTTCTAACTCCTGACCTTGAGCAATCCGCCCGTCTCGGCCTCCCAAAGTGCTAGGATTACAGGCGTGAGCCACCACGCCCGGCCAGAAAGAAGTTTTTCCTGAGACCCTCTGCCAACTGTCGTTTCTGAAGTCTTTCTTGTCCCTTGGCCAAGCCTTAAGATAGTTTCTCATCTCAGTTCCATTTCTAACCACTAAATGGCACCAGAACTATGAATTAGTTAAGAAATAGAAAAAATCTGCTTAACTAGTCTTTTTTTTTTTTTTTTTTAGAGACGAGTTCTCGCTCTTGCTCAGGCTGGTCTCAAACTCCTGGGCTCAAGCAATCCTCCTACCTCGGCTTCTCAGAGTGCTAGGATTACAGGTGTGAGCCACCATGCCCGGCCTGCTTAACTAGTCTTTAAGTGATTTGCTGTAAACCTTTAATTAATACTTCCTAAAATTAATTCATTTATTTTTATCAGTGATCTAGAATATGGTGACTTTTTGCCATTTATTATTTTTTGTGGGGAAAAGCAGGTTAAAAAACATATGCAAATCATTCCTTCACCTCTTGCCCATTACTGTGGTCCCTTAGTTGGCTGTAGCTTTAGCAGCATTTCTTTGTGCCACAGCAGCCTCCAGCAACATCAGGGGTACATCTGGACTTCATATTGTCAGAATCTTCTGCAAGCTTAAATGGATCTGTGATTATATCCTGTCAAAAGGCAAACCAAAGTGAAAGGACAAGTTAAAGGTGTTTTGATGTGCCCAAACACTAATATTTCTGTTTGATTTAGGTTGATTTACATAGAAGGGAGATAAAATTTTACAATTCCATGGAGTCCTGGTCATTCTGCTATAAAGGCACTGTCTTCCTGAAGCTTCTAATCAAGTTATTACTACTTTTGAGGTAAACTTCATTTAAAGTGTCTCAAAGATGGTCCTTATTGGACCAGGAGAGTTGATTCTGCTCAACTGGTTTTGTTGTGTAGGCTTCCCATTTGTACATACCTTTTACCCCTTTGGAACTGAGATACTGAAATGCCAAAATTTCTTCCCTTGCCTTACTCTGATGCCCAGAAACATGTATACAAGACAAGAAAGTAAGTCCCAAATACAGGGCCATGATTAGCAATTGTTGGTGTTCCAATGAGATTGCCAAGATTAAGTGGAGTTTTGAAAAGACACGGCTATAGTCTTTATTTTCACCCCCAAATGAGATACCTCTAAGAGCAGCACCAGTGGAACCAGAGAAAAAATAGGCACAAAGATAGGAAATCACAAGCATGAACACACCACTTTAAATAATAAATTCCTTAACCATAAATTTACAGGTGGCTCATGCCTGTAACCCTAGCACTCTGGGAGGCCAAGGCAGGAGGAATGCTTGAGGTCAGGAGTTCAAGACCACTCTGAGATATACTGAAAAAATTAAAAATAAATAAAAATTTAAAAAAAAAGACCACCCCGAGCAAGAGCAAGACCTTGTCTCTACTAAAAATAGAAAGAAATTATCTAGATAACTAAAAATATATACAGAAAAAAATTAGCCGGGCATGGTGGCACATGCCTGTACAAGTCCCAGCTACTCAGGAGGCTGAGGCAGAAGGATTGCTTGAGCCCAGGAGTTTGAGGTTGCTGTGAGCTAGGCTAATGCCATGGCACTCTAGCCCAGGCAACAGAGTGAGACTCTGTCTCAAAAAAAAAAAAAAAAAAATTTATAGCCTTACTACTTATTGCTGGTCACTGCAAAAAGAAAGGTACACAAGACAGGCACAGACTCTACATTCATGAAACTGACAGTCTTGTGGACTCTTCCCTTTACTGAAGTGACTGACTTGCTGGTGGCCTTGGCCTCTCTGGCCCTCAGTTTGCACCTTTCTAAAATGAACAGGTGGCCTGGCTCCGGGCAGACTAGCATCTGTTACAGCAAGGGGTCCCCAGGCTGGAAGGAGGCCAACCATGCTGGGTGCTGCTGTCAGGCCTTCACTTCCATCGTATTTCTACCTCTCAGTATATTGGAACTCCTGGTTGGAAGAGTTAGCCTCTCCTATTTTTCACCCAGAAAAAGGATTTTCCATGCCCTTCCTCCCATTCAGTGTTTTATAGCGATATCACTTCCAAACAGTCTCCTAGTCCTAAAGATCTCCAGACTTGAAGGAAGTAAAAAGGAGAAATGCTTGGATAAGCAGTTCTTTCCTGCACCAACATCCTGTGATTCTGTGAAAAGTATAAATACAGAGAGGCAGTACAGCACACTGGCTTAGAGTGTCACTTCTGAATCAGACATGGGTTCAAAGTCACCACTTTCTAGCTGTGTGACCTTGCATTAGTAAACTGATCTTTCTGAGCCTCAGTTTCTCCATAGTAAAATGAGGATAATGAGGGTTATTGTGAGTAGTAAATGACATGGTACTTTGAACACATTCGCAGTTCAATAAAAGCGTTTTCCTCTGTATTATTGCTATTGGTGTCAATGTTATTGTTAATTACTGCTTACTATTAACTCAAGCAAGGCAGTCCGTAGCTGTAATCCCATTTGCATCACTCAGATGCTACAGTGTTTGAATCATATAATTCTTTTAATAGCAAACTATACTTTGCTTTTCATGATTAAAAAGAAGAAAAGAGGGCTGGCATGGTATGGCTCATGCCTATAATCACAGCACTTTGGGAGGCTGAGGTGGGAGGATCGCTTGAGGCCAGCAGTTTTGAGACCAGCCTGAGCAACACAGCGAGACCCCATCTCTCCAAAAAATAGAAAAATTAGCCAGATGTGCTGGCGTGCAGCAGTAGTTCCAGACACTTGAGAGGCTGAGGCGGGAGGATCACTTGAGGCCAGGAGTTTGAGGTTGCAGTGAGCTACGATGACTCAAAATAAATAAATAAATATAAAATAAAAAGGAGAAGAAAAGAAAAAATGCTCTCAAAAATAGCCTTGAGGCTGGTCCGAAGGTAGTGAGTTATCTCACGTGATTGTTCACAGTCAGTTACAGATTGAACTCCTTGTTCTACTACTTTCCCCCCTCCTCACTACTGCACTTGACTAGTCTAAAAAAAAAAAAAAAAAAAAATAGCCTTGAGTTCATCTTTAGTATGAAGCAGCGCCTTTCTTCCCTCTGCCGAGGCCACTGATAGAGGACCTACGCACATACACTATCCTGCATGCCACCTGCACACACTATCTGTACTCCAGGGTTTATGACGAACGTCTTTTGTAAAAATGATAAAAATGTCCTCCCCCTTGAGCCTTCCCCCAAGGGCACAAGGTTATATTCCTAGGTCACACAGCTGTTTCACTTTTTAAATCTTCCTTCAGTGCCAATTATTCCCATTTCAAAAACTTGGGACTGATTTGAAAACACTGGCACATCTGCAGTCTGGAAGAAATCAGCCAGAAAAAAAAAAAAAAAGACCTTAGGTTGGAATAAACCAGTTCAAATTCGTAGAATGTTACAATTCATGTTCTGAGGTCAAGAACCCTCATGTACATGCTGCGTACACATTAGGAGGGAGAACAAGGAGAGCTCCACTGGGAGAAAACAGTCTTCTGCAAAAGCAAACTCAGTTAACTACTTTTATTACAGCCAGATACACTGAAAATGTTGTGGCCGGAAGAAAGACTCCCCTTACTTTAACTGTATTCTTCTGACAGCTTTTATTTTATGACCACTATTCAGGAAATCAGGTTACAGGAGAATTAGAATGATGAAAACACTTCAAAATAAACTCTGATTCTGACCAGCAAGGTTTGGTTATCAATGAACTCCCCCAAGAGTTTCAAAATACCAATTAATGAACTGAACAGTCCAAAGTCAAATCTCTCTACTTTTCAAAATATCACCTTCTGGCCGGGCGCTGTGGCTCACACCTGTAATCCTAGCTCTTGGGAGGCCGAGGCGGGCGGATTGCTCAAGGTCAGGAGTTCAAAACCAGCCTGAGTTGTTAAGAAAAAACAGAAAGCAGCAGGACGCCGGTAACAGCCGACTAGAGCGCCAGCGCACGAATCCAAGGACGAAACCAGCTGCGCAGAGAGCGGGGTGCTCCTAAGGAATTTGAATAAAGCGAAAGAGGTAACAATCATCTTCAGCTCTTTAAGGTGGCTTCGGGTAGACTTAGGCTTGGCGCGTAGCGACTCGCGGGCGGCGAATAGCAGTTCGAGTTTTGTTGGCGCGCGAGAGGCCTGTGGTCGGCGAGAGTTAGAGCGCGGCGGCGAATCTACAAGAGAGCGGCGCGAGGGGGTGGAGAGAGGCGCGTAAACTTAAGCGTACTCTTTTTTTTTTTTTTTTTTTTTGAGACAGATTCTCAGCTTCTTGTTGCCGCCAGGGCGGTAGGGAGTGCCGGGGGCCGTCGGGCAGGCCGTACGCTCACAGCACCTCGATAGGACTGCGCTGGCAGAAGCTAAGTGCGGGCGCCGTACGCAGCCGCGGGCCGAGGTAGGCTGGGGGTACTACGAGGCGAGTGCGCCCAGCGGGATGCGGCCCGGCGAGGGTTGTCTAGGGGTGTGTGATAGATTAGTGGGGCCAATGGGAGGCGGCGAGCGTGT